AAGTATGAGCCCCGAAAGATTTACTGTCTCCTCCTTCAAGTCACAGCTGACTTATGATTCCCACAGAGGTTTAAAGACAAGGGACATTCAGAGGTGGTTTGCCATTGCAGAAAAACTCTGCACTTCCTCAGTGGTGTCCCATTCAAATTCTAACCAGGGCTGGCCCTGCTTAGCTTCCAAGATGAGGCTAACGCAGGGGTTTATAGTGTTTGCTCATTAGGATTAAAGGCCTATTTAGTGCTGGTGAGCAAGCAAGGGCACTTAGAACACCCCAATTTACTAAACTTGGGGGGCATTCAGAACTCTGGGGGACAGATAGGGGACTTTCAGGATTTGATAGTTCCTTTTCTCTGGCTTCTGAAGATAGAACTTTTTTTATACTACTCATACTACATCAAGGATTAAAATCCCAGGTATCTCCCCAAGTCCTTAAAAAAAGGGGCTCGTGGCAAACAGGAATCAAATCTAGCCCTGAGGAATGGGCTGATGGCCATCAGGCACAGGGGAGACTAGGAACGTAGGCCTTACTCCTGTGTACACAATGCAAACATTATTAACATACCTACATAAATGAGTGGACTGGTATTTAGTGGCAATGCTGCATACGTGGTGGACAGCAGTGGATTACAGGTTAAAACCATTGGCTACAGGACTGTAGTCTCAAGTGGTTAAGATGCTGAACTGCAGGCTGTGGAAGGCCGGTAGTTCAGCAGTTCGAGACCCGAGTGTGCCGCATGACGGAGTGAGCTCCCGTCTCTAGTTCCAGCTCCTGCCAACCTAGCAGTTCGAAAGCAAGAAATTGCAAGTAGATAAATAGGTACCACTTCGGTGGGAAGGTAACAGCGTTCCGTGTGCCTTGGTGTTTAGTCATGCCGGCCACATGACCACGGAAATGTCTTCAGACAGTGCTGGCTCTTCGGCTTTGAAATGGAGATGAGCACCGCAACCCTAGAGTCGGACTCGACTGGCTTTCGAGCAAGGGAACCTTTACTTTTGCAGGACTGTAAAAAAAAAATGTGGCACATGCCTAAGGATCAGGACGCATCTAACCTTTGCAGGTGTTCAGTACCTACCTTTAGGGCCCATCCCACAATTTGTGAAGCACAGTGCGTGTCAATGTGAACTCTAAAGCACAACTAAGCATCGTTAACAATCTACTGTTCGCCATCCATCCAACACCCCATAAGAGATGGAAGCTACGCAATTTCCCCAATACTGCCTTCTCGCAATCTTAGAAAGGTATACCATAGCAGCGGCGTCTGTCAAGCTGAGTGTGCTCCCCCTTCTATGAGAACTGCAAAAATCTCAAATGTTCTTCTTTTACAAATGGTGCAATGGAGAATCCTGGGGTTCCCCCAAGGCTTCTGTGTAACAGCACACAAGCTTTATTTATAAGACTGGTCACCCAACCGCCCGCCTTCGATTTTCTGCAGGGGGGGGGGAAGCAATGCTCCCTCTAAACTGTGGAGTCTTATGAGTAATGATTCTACTTTGTGAGCTGCTGGCATTAAAGTTGTGAGTGAGCAATTTAGCTACTGCATAAATTAGTTTGCTCTGGAGCCGTCCTTCTTGAGCGAAGACAAAAATGTGTGAGCAGGGGGCTAAAAAGCTGTGACCTAGCTCACACTAACTCAGCTTAGAGGGAATGCTGGAGGATGTATTCACAGGCACCTTATTCAAATTACACCAACAATGAAGTCCAGTAGGCAACACGGAAGATAGAAAGTTTAAAAACCATTGCTCTATTAAGGGACGTGCACAGATTGCAACATTTAGCGACAGGCAGGTAATACTTTGAGACACAACTACCAGGTATAGAAACGTTAGTCAAGCATGTGAGTTTTAATCCATGTTATCAATAAATCAGACACGAAGGAAAAAAGCATCTGTTCTTTTTATAAATCCAGGTTTCCCAGAAGGCATCGCTTTAGATGAGGCATTTCCCTCCCCATGCGACAAGTGGAATGCCTTCCCCAAGCAAGGCACGAGCCACCTGTAGCTTCTCAAGTACTTAGGTTAAATTCTACATTTCTTTAAAAAAACGTTCCTACCTAATTGGGACACTTTAGCAAAAACATTTTAATCAATTAACTTATCCACCTGCGACACAGAGTAATTCTATTTCGATACATTTCCATCGTACTATGTCGTAAGAATCCCAGGGGAAATTTTCTTAACAAGCTTACTGATAATTGCCACATAAGTTTCTTTCCCTACACTGATTTATGGCTGAAATGACTGTATAGTCAGGAAACATTGTTCCTGAGGAAAACAACATTTCATAATGCACAGTACACATGAAACGTGAGCATTGAAGAGCCACTACCTTGCATTAATTCTCACGGTATATGACTTATGCTGTCATCCTGAACAGAGTTAAACCCTTCCAAGGCCAAAGTTACGGGGCTTAGAAGGGTGTAACTCTGCTTAAAGTAGCACTGTTAGAAGCATCCCCCCCCCCCAATTTGGTTTCCCGCATACTTCTTTATGTTATTTTTAAGGCCCAGTCCTACTATAACCTTGTATAGTACAAGTATAAAAACCAATCTACTACAATCCAGTGGGCCAAACCACTTTCAGGGAAAACACATCGATGGCACCACTTGTGCTTAAGGTTTGTTTAGCATAGAAAAAACCACTACAGCAAAAGGAAACGGAAACACCAAAATGCCCACCTATTTATTTGACTTCCTTGAAAGTGATGTGCATTTAAAAAAAAACCCCAACCATTTTTTTAAAAAATAGAAAGCAGCATGTGTCCCAAATTCTGCTTTGCAAAAAAAATTACGGTGAAGGAAGAAGTGACAATCTAAAGGGGTTTCAATAGAACAAAAAGAGAAGCCTCAACGGAAGAAAACATCGACAAAGTAGAGCAATGAAAACTACGGACAGACAACTGAAGAGAGATGTTTAGGCAGAACAGGCTCTTGTACTTTTAATTGGGACAGAGCTCGATAAAACACCAACAAAAGTTGTGCGGACTAATCTATAACTCTCATTTCTCCGTATCTCTCTTGGACACTTTATCTTAGGGGACATCTTGCCACTTATGCGTATGTGCGGGACCTCAGGTGCCTCGTCACGACATTACTAATTCCCAGTGTTCACAAGTCTGTATATGCCTCGTCATGACATTACTAATTCCCAGTGTTCACAAGTGCAAATTTCCCCCTTCAAATGACATTTGCCAAATCAACTGTAGCATTTGTAGCATACTGTGGTATACCTTACTCCTTTCCAAACGATGGGATTAAAACCACTTTTTCTGATTAAGTGGTCTTCAGATCCTAAGATCTGACCCACCTGAAACAACACATTTCTCTAACCTTTTGTCCCATCAGTGTCTTCCTGCCTGCCCTCTCTGGAACCCTTCTCTGCTTATAAGAGATACACAGTGATTGCTTAACTGAACTGATTCAACTACAGGGACCTAATGGTGTTTCATACTTCACTGTAAAAATGGTAGCCCCAAACTATTATTACAATTGCTTCTCTTCTGCTCTAGATGCGAAATGTCGGACACCCCTGTTTTAACAGTTCATGTGAAACTGAACTCCAGTATTGACTAATACTAAAATCTCACCAAATCCTTACAAATTCACACGACCTACCAATGGACACACGTGAGAGTAGGGAAAACCAGAAAGGAGCAAGTCAGGACAGGTTAACATTTTCCATACAGTGGGATACTCTAGAAGGCAGAGGAAGGACAGTATGCTGTTTGCCACTCCATGTTCATCTAGAGACCGCAGCGTAAGCTGCAACTCGTAACTTGCAGTATTGCCATAATTAAGGTCTACTGCAGCTTTGCAAAACATGCACCATACACTAAACAGAGAGCCAACATGTTTTCCCCCCAATCAGTCTTTATTGACACCTTTTGTGGGTTAAGTGTAAAACTTAAACAGAGGGCCCCGTACTCATGTCGTATTATGGATCTTTCTGATCAAAAACACCTCTAAACAACTTCACCGCTTGCAAGCAGCACAGCCATTTCTTGATTTACAGCACAGTCTGAACTGTTACAACAACCACTCAAAAATATGCATGTAAAATGCAGCTCTGTTGAAGGACTTTGTTTCGATATTCTTGTGTACCTGACAGCAAGGCTCCCCTCAGCACATCCTAGGAAAAATAGTTAGACCCCCTCCCCCACTTCTGACTGGGAGCTCATTATCACGAGATCGTTACATTAAGAGAATCCCCTCATTGTCTTGCCTGACAATAATACCGAATCACAGAAAAAGTTGTGTGTGTGGGGGGAGAAGACGTTTAATGTTCTTTCCAGAACCACTGGAGGAATCAAGAACACTCCATTTAAGAAACGGCAGATAAACAAGGTGGAGCCAGTATTCACTTCATCAAGCAGATTTAAATTCGCATTTGAGTCTTGTTATTCATTCTTCTAAATCAAGTGTGTTTAGTTCTTCTTCTAGTTCCTCTAAGTCCTCGCCAGTAAAAAGGTTTTCATCAACTGGAACGGCATCGATTATTCCGTTTTCCTGAGCCTCTTCCATGTCGCTAGCATCTTCTGAGTCGCTCTCTTCTCCGTTCTCCAGTCCACCTCCTGATGCTTCGCTCAGCTTGTTATCTGAAAGTGAAAACAATCTTTTCCATCTTCCATTCTGAAAAACAGGGCCCGTTTCAGATAGGGAATATTTCTCTGCAAACCTGGAGGATGCTACAAGGTTTGCAGGGAAATGTGAAATGTAAGAAACCCCAAAACATTGTGCGCGCGTGTTAAAGACCCTACAATTGTAGAAGCAATGTCTGCATGGTGAGAGCTTGGTGGCCATTTCGGGAGATGCTACAGAACCACCCACCAACACCGCCAAGGTTCCAAGACACAGGAGTTGTCAGTGAGGGTGGTGGTGGTGGGGGGACTAAGAAGAGATGGAAGATAGGGTGGTAAAGTTGGCAGGGGGATAAAAAGGTAAAAACAAAAAGATGAAGATGGAGAAGGGGGAAAGAAAAATGGGAAGACCAGAAACTCCATTTAAGAAACGGCAGATAAACAAGGTGGAGCCAGTATTCACTTCATCAAGCAGATTTAAATTCGCATTTGAGTCTTGTTATTCATTCTTCTAAATCAAGTGTGTTTAGTTCTTCTTCTAGTTCCTCTAAGTCCTCGCCAGTAAAAAGGTTTTCATCAACTGGAACGGCATCGATTATTCCGTTTTCCTGAGCCTCTTCCATGTCGCTAGCATCTTCTGAGTCGCTCTCTTCTCCGTTCTCCAGTCCACCTCCTGATGCTTCGCTCAGCTTGTTATCTGAAAGTGAAAACAATCTTTTCCATCTTCCATTCTGAAGAACAGGGCCCGGTTCAGATAGGGAATATTTCTCTGCAAACCTGGAGGATGCTACAAGGTTTGCAGGGAAATGTGAAATGTAAGAAACCCCAAAACATTGTGCGCGCGTGTTAAAGACCCTACGATTGTAGAAGCAATGTCTGCATGGTGAGAGCTTGGTGGCCATTTCGGGAGATGCTACAGAACCACCCACCAACACCGCCAAGGTTCCAAGACACAGGAGTTGTCAGTGAGGGTGGTGGTGGTGGGGGGACTAAGAAGAGATGGAAGATAGGGTGGTAAAGTTGGCAGGGGGATAAAAAGGTAAAAACAAAAAGATGAAGATGGAGAAGGGGGAAAGAAAAATGGGAAGACCAGAATAGAAAGGGGGGGGGGGGGGGGAGAAGGAACAGGGGAGAGGCTGCAGGCACTGCTAGGGGGAGGGGCAAAGAGAACAAGGAGGAGTGGCAACTGAGATGCCCACAAGAAGTGAGTCCCTTGTGGGCCCCCCACTTGTTATTTACTAAAGCAACTGTATTGACATTAACTATACTTGAGAATATGGACCGTGCAGCTCTAAGCGGCAAAACTGATGTGCTCAGAAAAACATGTACTTTCAGAACTGATAACTCAAGACACCAAACAACGATGACTGTTACTGTGACCCTAAGCAGCCCAATTTGGAAGTAACAGAAATGGGAGATGTGCAGCTCAACCCGAGCATGCTGTTTGCACAAAGCAAGCCCCACAGCCTTTGAGACCAGCTCCCCGAGCCACTACCCTTAATGACGCGGCTGCTTTATTTTCAAGCAGCGGTTTCACAGGAGGATCACCAAGCTATTGCAGAGAGATACGACATATAGCCCTGCAGGGAAATCCGGCCAATGTAGCAGGGCTTTTGTTCTCCCTTTCACCGTCATTCAGATTTCAGTATGAATGGAAGATAATGGAAGCAGGGCAAGAGAAAAGAAAAAGCCTGGTGAGACTCCCACATCGCCTAGCCCCAAATTGCACACAAAGGGCTGATCCAGTGAAAAACGTCCGCTTCTGCTAGAGCTCGTGTGCGAGCGGAAACGTGAGGAAAAGACCGCGGTAGCCATTTATATAAAGTCCAACTTACTGTACATTCATTTAAGCAAGGACTTGAGCAACCAATTTGTGGACACTAAGATACATACAGGGCAGAAAGGGCTGGGTGTTGTACAAGACCTCATACAAGCAGAACCTCACTGAGATCATTAATGTTTCTGCAACGCTGGATCTAAGCCGTAAAATTTACTTTTTATACTTCATATCATCCACGTTATCACGGGAGTCAGTGGAATAACTCAATAATTTATACGGTTCTGGATGGCTCATAATGGATGCTATGCTGCTCAGTTACGCATGCCCAAACGTTGCCGCATCTTCTGCATGCACAGCTATTCATAGAAGCGCTGCCAAGCAATCAACCTAAGCTTTTTTGCTTTAATACAATGGCAGCGTTTTGCAAGCGCTGCTGTGCTCTGGTAGGTGCAAATAATAAGACAAACGATGCTGATAAATACCCATTAGCTAAGGGATGGCCCGTGTGTGGATCAAAAAAAATCCATGAGGCCAGCCACGGCGACAATTCAAGGTTCTATTAAACCTAAAGAACGAAACCCCCCCCCCTCGGGTTTGCAGAAAAATTTAGCTTTAAAATATAATTTTTTTTGGTGTGTGGGGGAATACCCTCCCCCCAAGTACTGAGCGATGCCTTCCCATGCACAGACGTCTGGGGTGGGGGTTTGGGCAGTAGAAGAGAAGAGAAGAAGAGGAAGAGATTGGATTTATACCCTGCCCTTCACTACCCAAAGGTGTCTCGGAGCGGCTTACAAACTCCTTTCCCTTCCCCTCCCCACAACAGACACCCTGTGAGGTAGGTGGGGTTGAGAGAGCTCTGACAGAAACAGCTCTTTTTCAAGAACAGCTCTTATCAGAACTACGGCTTGCCCAAGGTCATCCAGCCAGGCGCGAGAGGAGGAGTGGGGAATCAAACCCGGCTCTCCCAGATTAGATTCCACGCACTTAACCACTATACCAAACTGGCTCTCTGAGGTTGCCGTTGAACCCAAAGTGATCAGCACCACGTAGGTAAGAGGGAGGGGGGGGAAGGGAAGTAAGGAGGGGAAAGCAAAAAAGCAGAGGCTGGAAATGGAGGAAGCAGAAGCAACTGAAGGGGCTGCGGAAGGCAACGGATAGGACTTCCCCTTTCCTGCAAGACCCTGCAGGCCCCTTCACATGTGCCACTAAAGACTAGTCCTTGCTTCATTGAACAGCCAGAAATAGCCCACCCCAACCCTCAGACCTTACCATCCTTTTCGGCTGGAGTATACGTGCTGAACC